TGCTGTATCTTTTAGCTCTCCTGATCCAACATGGTTCCAGTGCTTGCTGTATCTTTTAGCTCTCCTGATCCAACATGGTTCCAGTACTTGCTGTATCTTTTTTAGCTCTCCTGATCCAACATGGTTCCAGTGCTCTCCTGCTGTTATGCTGTATCTTTAGCTCTCCTGATCCAACATGGTTCCAGTACTTGCTGTATCTTTTGTCTCTCCTGATCCAACATGGTTCCATTGCTTGCTGTATCTTTTAGCTCTTGTGATCCAACATGGTTCTAGTGCATGCTGTATCTTTTAGCTCTCCTGATCCAACATGGTTCCAGTGCTTGCTGTATCTTTTAGCTCTCCTGATCCAACATGGTTTCTGTATCTTTTAGCTCTCTGATCCAACATGGTTCCAGTGCTTGCTGTATCTGTATCTTTTAGCTCTCCTGATCCAACATGGTTCCAGTGCTTGCTGTATCTTTTAGCTCTCCTGATCCAACATGGTTCCAGTGCTTGCTGTATCTTTTAGCTCTCCTGATCCAACATGCTGCTTGCTGTATCTTTTAGCTCTCCTGATCCAACATGGTTCCAGTGCTTGCTGTATCTTTTAGCTCTCCTGATCCAACATGGTTCCATTGCTTGCTGTATCTTTTGGCTCTCCTGATCCAACATGGTTCCATTGCTTGCTGTATCTTTAGGCTCTCCTGATCCAACATGGTTCCAGTGCTTGCTGTATCTTTTAGCTCTCCTGATCCAACATGGTTCCAGTGCTTGCTGTATCTTTTAGCTCTCGTGATCCAACATGGTTCCAGTGCTTGCTGTATCTTTTAGCTCTCCTGATCCAACATGGTTCCAGTGCTTGCTGTATCTTTTAGCTCTCCTGATCCAACATGGTTCCAGTGCTTGCTGTATCTTTTATCTCTCCTGATCCAACATGCTGGCTCTCCTGATCCAACAGTCCAGTGCTGCTGTATCTTTTAGCTCTCCTGTGATCCAACATGGTTCCAGTGCTTGCTGTATCTTTTAGCTCTCCTGATCCAACATGGTTCCAGTGCTTGCTGTATCTTTTAGCTCTCCTGATCCAACATGGTTCCAGTGCTTGCTGTATCTTTTAGCTCTCCTGATCCAACATGGTTCCATTGCTTGCTGTATCTTTTAGCTCTCCTGATCCAACATGGTTCCAGTGCTTGCTGTATCTTTTAGCTCTCCTGATCCAACATGGTTCCAGTGCATGCTGTATCTTTTGGCTCCTATGATCCAACATGGTTCCAGTGCTTGCTGTATCTTTTAGCTCTCCTGATCCAACATGGTTCCAGTGCATGCTGTATCTTTTAGCTCTCCTGATCCAACATGGTTCCAGTGCATGCTGTATCTTTTAGCTCTCCTGATCCAACATGGTTCCAGTGCTTGCTGTATCTTTTAGCTCTCCTGATCCAACATGGTTCCAGTGCTTGCTGTATCTTTTAGCTCTCCTGATCCAACATGGTTCCAGTGCTTGCTGTATCTTTTGGCTCTCCTGATCCAACATGGTTCCAGTGCTTGCTGTATCTTTTAGCTCTCCTGATCCAACATGGTTCCAGTGCTTGCTGTATCTTTTGGCTCTCGTGATCCAACATGGTTCCAGTGCTTGCTGTATCTTTTAGCTCTCCTGATCCAACATGGTTCCAGTACTTGCTGTATCTTTTGTCTCTCCTGATCCAACATGGTTCCATGCTGTATCTTTTAGCTCTCCTGATCCAACATGGTTCCAGTGCTTGCTGTATCTTTTAGCTCTTGATCTCTGCTGATCCAACATGGTTCCACATGGTTCCATTGCTGCTGTATCTTTTAGCTCTCCTGATCCAACATGGTTCCAGTGCTTGCTGTATCTTTTAGCTCTCCTGATCCAACATGGTTTCAGTGCTTGCTGTATCTTTTGCTGTCCAACATTTTCCAGTGCATGCTCTCCTGATCCAACATGGTTCCAGTGCTTGCTGTATCTTTTAGCTCTCCTGATCCAACATGGTTCCAGTGCTTGCTGTATCTTTTGGCTCTCCTGATCCAACATGGTTCCAGTGCTTGCTGTATCTTTAGCTCTCCTGATCCAACATGGTTCCAGTGCTTGCTGTATCTTTTAGCTCTCCTGATCCAACATGGTTCCAGTGCTTGCTGTATCTTTTGGCTCTTGATTGGTTCCTGCTTGCTGTATCTTTTAGCTCTCCTGATCCAACATGGTTCCAGTGCTTGCTGTATCTTTTAGCTCTGATCCAACATGGTTCCAGTGCTTGCTGTATCTTTTAGCTCTCCTGATCCAACATGGTTCCAGTGCTTGCTGTATCTTTTAGCTTTCCAACATGGTTCCTGCTGTATCTTTTGTCTCCTGATCCAACATGGTTCCAGTGCTTGCTGTATCTTTTTGGCTGATCCAACATGATCCAACTTGCTGTATCTTTTAGGTTCCACATGTTCCAGTGCTGCTGTATCTTTTAGCTCTCCTGATCCAACATGGTTCCAGTGCTTGCTGTATCTTTTAGCTCTCCAACATGATCCAACATGGTTCCAGTGATTGGTTGTGCTTCTTTTAGCTCTCCTGATCCAACATGGTTCCAGTGCTTGCTGTATCTTTTGGCTCTCCTGATCCAACATGGTTCCAGTGCTTGCTGTATCTTTTAGCTCTCCTGATCCAACATGGTTTCCAGTGCTTGCTGTATCTTTTGGCTCTCCTGATCCAACATGGTTCCAGTGCTTGCTGTATCTTTTGCTGTATCTTTTAGCTCTCTGATCCAACATGGTTCCAGTGCTTGCTGTATCCAACATGGTTCCAGTACTTGCTGTATCTTTTGGCTCCTATGATCCAACATGGTTCCATTGCTTGCTGTATCTTTTAGCTCTCCTGATCCAACATGGTTTCAGTGCTTGCTGTATCTTTTAGCTCTCCTGATCCAACATGGTTCCAGTGCTGCTGTATCTTTTAGCTCTCCTGATCCAACATGGTTCCAGTGCTTGCTGTATCTTTTAGCTCTCCTGATCCAACATGGTTCCAGTGCTTGCTGTATCTTTTAGCTCTCCTGATCCAACATGGTTCCAGTGCTTGCTGTATCTTTTAGCTCTCCTGATCCAACATGGTTCCAGTGCTTGCTGTATCTTTTAGCTCTCCTGATCCAACATGGTTCCAGGCTGTGCTTACGTTTAAAACATATGTTCCCTTTGGTAGTTTGCTACCCACCGTACACACACTTTCTGATATTGCGGCTTTTTACGAAACATATTTTGAGCTGTCCTTAACGAATGTATGCTTTGGCAAAGGTTGACCTGTATTGCTGCATCAGTTTTAGCCATGGATTTGTTTGGGTACTTTTCAGCCTTGACACTTGTCAGTGTCAGGTGGGCTGGATTGTATGATGATAATCAGAGAGAATGGAGTGGCAGTGTCAGGTGGGCTAAGTTGTATGATGATAATCAGAGAGAATGGAGTGGCAGTGTCAGGTGGGCTGGGTTGTATGATGATAATCAGAGAGAATGGAGTGGCAGTGTCAGGTGGGCTGGGTTGTATGATGATAATCAGAGAGAATGGAGAGGCAGTGTCAGGTGGGCTGGGTTGTATGATGATAATCAGAGAGAATGGAGTGGCAGTGTCAGGTGGGCTGGGTTGCATGATGATAATCAGAGAGAATGGAGAGGCAGTGTCAGGTGGGCTGGGTTGTATGATGATAATCAGAGAGAATGGAGTGGCAGTGCCAGGTAGGCTGGGTTGTATGATGACGATAGCAGAGGATGGTAGAGTGACTTGGTAAGTAAGCTTCAGGCGGACAACACATAATTACACAAGATTTTAGTGAGAGAAACCACAAGATGACATAGTTACATAAGATTTCAGTGAGAGAAACCAATTTATGACATAATTACACATGTCTTCAGTGAGAGACACTGGATGACATAATTACACAATATTTCAGTAAAAGAAACCACTGGATGACATAATTACACAATATTTCAGTAAGAGAAACCACTGGATGACATAATTACACAATATTTCAGTAAGAGAAACCACTGAATGACATAATTATGAGCAGTTCATAATTGTCATAATTCTTTTCATTGTTTTTTTTTTTCTCCTAATGTTATCTGCACATTTATTTAAAAGGTATGACAAAAGAATGCCCACCCTACCTGACTCCCTTTTGCACCTCGAACCATTCCGATGTGTCAGAGAAATTACTAGATAGCACAATTACACAAGATTTCAGTGATAGGAATTACTGGATGACATAATTACACACTTGATTTTAGTGGCAGAAACCCTTGATGACATAATTACATATGATTTTAGCCAGAGAAAACACCCAGTGACATAATTACATGTGTTTTGTGAGAGAAACACTAGATGACATAATTAAACATGATTTCAGAGAAACACTGGATTACATAAGTACACATGATTTCAATGAGAAATTCTGGATTACATAACTACATATGATTTTAGTAAGGAAAATACTAGATGATGTAATTATACATGATTTATTGTGAGAGAAACACTAAATGACATAATTACACATGATTTTAGTGTGAAAGAAAATACAAACATAACAGAAATAAAGTGGTCACCTCGGCTTGTTCAACTGTGACATGGGTGTGACTCTTCTGCATCTTCTAACAACCCTGTAACATCTTCTAACAATCCTGTAACAACTTCTAACAACCCTGTGACAACTTCTAACAACCCTGTGACATCTTCTAACAACCCTGTGACATCTTCTAACAACCCTGTGACATCTTCTAACAACCCTGTGACATCTTCTAACAACCCTGTAACAACTTCTAACAACCCTGTGACATCTTCTAACAACCCTGTAACAACTTCTAACAACCCTGTAACATCTTCTAACAACCCTGTGACATCTTCTAACAACCCTGTGACATCTTCTAACAACCCTGTAACATTATCTGTGGTAGAATGATTGTATCCCTGCCACATGTACTTTGTCCAGTTTAATCTGCAGTTTCTACAGTCTGTGTTTTGTTTCTCTTTTGTTTTTTGACAGTTCTTCCAGAAAAATGGAAGTGCCTACCCAGTGTCTGATGGTGATGGTATTTTGATAGAGATTGTCCAAGAGGGAGTTCTGGTGGCTCGAACTGTGGAGTTTTCTGGGGACAAGCCAGGAGATGTCAACTTGGTGAGGTGCTCGTTTACTGTCCACAAGTCTGGGGAATACAGGATCTCTATCATGGTTGGAGGCAGGCACATCAAGGACAGCCCCTTCAGCAAGTACTTTGAGGCTGGTAGGTCCCACATTTAGGTACACTAAAACTCAAACATGTCTTCACATCATAGTTGGAGGCAGGCACATCAAGGAGAGCACCTTCAGCAAGTACTTTGAGGCTGGTAGGTCCCACATTTAGGTACACTGAAACTCAAACATGTCTTCACATCATGGTTGGAGGCAGGCACATCAAGGACAGCCCCTTCAGCAAGTACTTTGAGGCTGGTAGGTCCCACATTTAGGTACACTGAAACCTAAACATGTCTTCTTCACATCATGATTTTAGCTCATCAAAGGAACAGAAGCATTTCTTTCTTTCTCTTGTCTTCTGTGAATGCCAGTCCCTGCCTCATGTAATTTAATGACCCTAATCAGGTCACCAAAGTTCCAGCGTCACAACAAACGGGTCACCCCATAGTTGCTGTGTTACTGTGCGAATGAAAACCTCAGGATATCCATCACTGTGCCAGGTTGAAATAACTGTCACAGGTTGCAGTCTCAGAAAATCAGCTTACACACACATTAAACGCATAAGGCAGACATCAGAAGGGAAAACAATCAATCAGACACTTGAAATACAGTTTATCTTTGTTGGAATCAACAGTTATAACAGATCACTAGTTGCACACGCAATTAATTGCATTCTTTGGCAACAGGCCACTCACCATCTTCTAAATCTGCAGTTCACAATACGAACCATGTTTGGCATAGTTGAAAAGGATTTCAAATGAAATCTGCAGTTCACAGTGTCATGACATGCAGTCGGCTCTGTAGCTGGATGATGGAACTATATCCTTTCAGTCTACATACGAAGGAAAATGTAATGACTTACTGTTGTCAGGGGCAGAATTTTGCGACAGTTAAAATAGTAAACTAGCCCCTTCGCAGTATTGACCTGCAGTCTTAATGAATTATCTTAACCAAATGACTAGTACGTCTATACTTATGAAATATGCTACCCAGTGTTTCTGTAAATATGTATTATATTAGTTTCTATTTGTTTTGTGTGTGTATTTTAATCATTGTTATTATACATTTTTATATTACTTTAGCCAAGGGTTCTAGTTATTTTAAAAACATCTGAGACAGTGTTTTAATAACATTTTTTGGGTCATGTTATCTAGGTCCGATTGACCCATCCAAGTCTGGGTTCATGCACTACACGTCCACAGTTGTATTTCCCTCAGGCAGTAGCTACCCACTGGTCATTGAGACTCGGGACTCCTTTGGAAATTTGTCTGCTTACAAGGCTGATAATAAGTCATTTTTCAAGATCAAAGTCAAAGAGGTAATGATGCCACATTACAGTTTGTGCCAGACTGGCCTAGATTTGGATGTTGTTTCCAGTATACAGTGCACAAAGGGACTGGTGTGTGCTTGATAAAGGGACTGGTGTGTGCTTGATAAAGGGACTGGTGTGTGCTTTATAATGGGACTGGTGTGTGCTTTATAGTGGACTGGTGTGTGCTTTATAGTGGACTGGTGTGTGCTTGATAAAGGGACTGGTGTGTGCTTTATAGTGGACTGGTGTGTGCTTTATAGTGGACTGGTGTGTGCTTTATAGTGGACTGGTGTGTGCTTTATAGTGGACTGGTGTGTGCTTTATAGTGGACTGGTGTGTGCTTTATAGTGGACTGGTGTGTGCTTTATAGTGGACTGGTGTGTGCTTTATAGTGGACTGGTGTGTGCTTTATAGTGGACTGGTGTGTGCTTTATAATGGCACTGGTGTGTGCTTTATAATGGCACTGGTGTGTGCTTTATAGTGGACTGGTGTGTGCCTTATAGTGGTCTGGTGTTTGCTTTATAATGGGACTGGTGTGTGGACTATAATGGGACTGGTGTGTGGACTATAATGGGACTGGTGTGTGGACTATAAAGGGATTGGTGTGTGGACTATAATGGGACTGGTGTGTGGACTATAATGGGACTGGTGTGTGGACTATAAAGGGATTGGTGTGTGGACTATAATGGGACTGGTGTGTGGACTATAATGGGACTGGTGTGTGGACTATAATGGGACTGGTGTGTGCTTTATAATGGACCTGGACATATTTTATGTATTGTTCGAAGGAAGGAAGAAGAGAGAAAAAAGACAATGAAGTAAGAGAGGTGGAAAGGAAATAAAAAGAGTACTAACATCTTCATATAATCTTCAGTACAAGCATGCAGAAGACAGAAAATGTGAAAGAAAAATGCTTTCACAATGTTCACATGTGAGCTTTCTCTCTCTCTCTCTCTCTCTCTCTCTCTCTCTCTCTCTCTCTCTCTCTCTCTCTCTCTCTCTCTCTCTCTCTCTCTCTCTCTCTCTCTCTCTCTCTCTCTCTCTCTCACACGCACACACACACAGATGTAAATCATCAGTAAATACCGATATTGTTAAGTTTGTGTGTTTGTGGCTTTTCCATCATGGCAAACTAATGTTTGTGCCACCTAAAAGGCTGTGGCCAACTATACAGGAAGCCAAAGAAGAAAATCTATCAACTAACTAAACCTTCAAGAATGACAGAGAAAAGAACTGTATTGACTTGTTTCTGTGTTTGTTTACGAGCTGCAGGCTGGCAGCAATGAGCGCTACACCCCGACCACACAGATCATCTACAACACACAGGACAAGAAACTGGTCATGTACATCAAGATTGACAAGGAGGGTTGCTACCAGGCCATCGTCTCCTACGGTGACATCAAGCTGAGAAATGGAGAGTTCGATATCTTGGTTTTGAATGGTGGGTTCAATTTCCGTAGGTCTGATAACTATATAACAAAGAGAAGGAAAAAAATCATTGAATCGTATGTTGATAAATACCAAGTACCATGGTGTGTTTTATAAAATGTCAACCAAGTATAGTTTGCTTTGCATGTTCTAGAGATAAAGTTCTCTCTAGGCCACCACATTTAACATGACCAGAATACTTCAGCTTTCAGGACAGGGTGCTGTTTATGAGCCAGTTTTCCTTGGTGCTCAGATCATGTATGATGTCTGTATTCTCTCTTCTTCTTGGTCCATGGTATTCTCAGAGTTTCTGCAGCACCGCACTTCATTAGCTTCATTTCTTTCATTAATGATTGGGTAAGCGTCTATGACCCACAACCCAAATTTTCCTCAAGTGGTTTCCAAGGCCTCATTGTGGGGAAAACAAGAATAGACCCATGCTTCCCTAACAGACATGTCGTACGAGTCGACTAGTTGGGGGCTTGCTTCGAAGTCGGCGTGTATCTGCCTGAGCGGCAAGGAACAACCAACAGCCAGTAAAATAGATGTACCTGCAAAACTAACGCCCTGTACAAAGCCAGAGTCCAAATCAGGACCTTCCACTGGAGCATACAGCTGGTGAACAACCAGGACCTTTCACTGGAGCTTACAGCCGGTGAACAATCAGGACCTTCCACTGGAGCTTACAGCTAGTGAACAGCCAGGACCTTCCACTGGAGCTTACAGTTGGTGAACAAACAGGACCTTCCACTGAAGCTTACAGCTGGTAAACAGCCAGGACCTTCCACTGGAGCATACAGCTGGTGAACTATCAGGACCTTCCACCCGGAGAACAATCAGGACCTTCCACTGGAACTTACAGCCAGTGAACAATCAGGACCTTCCACTGGAGCTGACAGCTGGTGAACGATCAGGACCTTCCACTGGAGCTTACAGCCGGAGAACAATCAGGACCTTCCACTGGAGCTTACAGCTGGTGAACAGCCAGGACCTTCCACTGGAGCTTACAGCCAGTGAACAATCAGGACCTTCCACTGGAGCTTACAGCTGGTGAACAGCCAGGACCTTCCACTGGAGCATACAGCTGGTGAACAATCAGGACCTTCCACTGGAGCTTACAGCCGGTGAACAATCAGGACCTTCCACTGGAGCTTACAGCCAGTGAACTATCAGGACCTTCCACTGGAGCTTACAGATGGTGAACTATCAGGACCTTCCACTGGAGCTTACAGCCAGTGAACTATCAGGACCTTCCACTGGAGCAGCTAACAGCCAGTGAACTATCAGGACCTTCCACTGGAGCTTACAGCCAGTGAACTATCAGGACCTTCCACTGGAGCTTACAGCTGGTGAACAATCAGGACCTTCCACTAGAGCATACAGCTGGTGAACAATCAGGACCTTCCACTGGAGCATACAGCCTGAAAGCATACCTCCCCTCTGAACTGCTGCTGGTTTGACACCCTGACATCACACCTCCCCTCTGGACTGCTAAAGGTTTGACACCCTGACATCACACCTCCCCTCTGGACTGTAAAGGTTTGACACCCTGACATCACACCTCCCCTCTGAACTGCTGATGGTTTGACACCCTGACATCACACCTACCCTCTGGACTGCTAAAGGTTTGACACCCTGACATCACACCTCCCCTCTGAACTGCTGATGGTTTGACACCCTGACATCACACCTACCCTCTGGACTGCTAAAGGTTTGACACCCTGACATCACACCTCACCTCTGAACTGCTGATGGTTTGACACCCTGACATCACACTTCCCCTCTGGACTGCTAAAGGTTTGACACCCTGACATCACACCTCCCCTCTGAACTGCTGATGGTTTGTCACCCTGACATCACACTTCCCCTCTGGACTGCTAAAGGTTTGACACCCTGACATCACACCTCCCCTCTGAACTGCTGATGGTTTGACACCCTGACATCACACCTCCCGTCTGGACTGCTGAATGTTTGACACCCTGACATCACACCTCCCGTCTGGACTGCTGAAGGTTTGACACCCTGACATCACACCTCCCCTCTGGACTGCTAAAGGTTTGACACCCTGACATCACACCTCCCCTCTGGACTGCTGATGGTTTGACACACTGACATCACACCTCCCCTCTGGACTGCTGATGGTTTGACACCCTGACATCACACCTCCCCTCTGGACTGCTAAAGGTTTGACACCCTGACATCACACCTCCCCTCTGGACTGCTAAAGGTTTGACACCCTGACAGCATACCTCCCCTCTGGACTGCTAAAGGTTTGACACCCTGACATCACACCTCCCCTCTGGACTGCTAAAGGTTTGACACCCTGACATCACACCTCCCGTCTGGACTGCTGAAGGTTTGACACCCTGACATCACACCTCCCGTCTGGACTGCTAAAGGTTAGACACCCTGACATCAAAGAATCTCAATATGGATGGCAAACCCAGATACCTCTTTCAGAAACTAAGGAAGTTATAATTGCGACACCGTTAATGGTTACACGAAGCTGATGTAATCTACAGTCCAGAGTGGGTCGGGAATGTAGTGAACAGACAAGCAGAGGCACCCACAGAGAAAAGGTTTGTGGACAGAGATGAACCAGCTGAGCAACATGTAAAAATGTAAGCAGTACTGATTTCATCCAGATAACAAATGATAAAGAAGGTTGGTGAGTATGATTATTTGCGTCTGCTGCAGTCAGGCACCTGGAGAAGAAGAGAAAGATGGCCTTGCCTGGAGGGAACTAGATTTACTGATTGACCAGTCTAACTGTTTCAGATCACTTGATGAAATCATAATTTGTGTTTTCATTTGTCTGCAGTTTTAGAGCTGAACAAGGTGCAGAAGAATGTCAGCAAGCAGAAACACAACCTCTGGTATGAGGCCAGGTTGTTAACGCAAAATGGGGAAAAGCTGGACAAGCCAAAGAAAGTCTATCTGTATATTTCCCCTAAGGTTGGTCTGTCTATCCAGGCATTTTGTTGTATGTCATTGATGACTTTGAGGTATATATGGTGACTTTGAGGTATAGGATGACTTTGAGGTATAGGATTACTTTGAGGTATAGGATGACTTTGAGGTATAGGATGACTTTGAGCTATGTGATGACTTTGAGGTATATATGAAGTCTGGGATGCGCACCAGGTAATTGCAGTTTTGACTTCATAACAAACAGGTCACACCCTAGCTGCTCTGTTCCTGGACCAGTGAAAGCCACACAGAGTGTTTAACATTGTCCCTTGTGAATAGATTGACACAGACAGGAGTCTAAGCATGCCATCAGCATTTAAATGCATTAAATACTTCAGCCATCAGAACTGCCGACACAAACAGTGTAGCACTAGAAATGCAGCTCACCTTCAGTGGATGCAGCAGTTTTAATAGGTCACCGTGTGACAGGGTAGTGATTATTTTACTCTGTTAGAAAATGGGTTCTGTGACATGTGCCAGGTCTAGAGTGTGTGCCACGATGTTGGTAAAGTGGTTATTTACTGACTGGGAAAGTGGGTGTTGGTTCAGTCCCCAGGATCTATGGATGTGTATTTCTGATACAGTGAGGCAGCAGAGATTTCTCTGGCAAACATCCAGGCCCTGAACCATATTGCCACTCCTTGAAGCAAATGTCTGACATGTTCCCACCAGGGGGGAAAAAAGGCTACCTTCTTCTGCTTCTCTTGCCTAGTTCAGCTGACCTCTTTGTTCCAACCATCTCTTTGAAGATGTGCTCCATAAATTGTGATTTGTCTGTTCCCTAAGATTTTGAATCTCATAACAGCTATATCTTTCAGATGTCTTCTCAGGCTAAGATATTTTCAGTATTCTTCTCAAAAACATTTGCCCTGCTTTCAAGTTCTTCATCATTTTGTTACTTTTTTTGTCTAGTATCCACAGACATACTGAAGTACAAGACACATCTTTTCAATAACAACAATTTTTGTATTTGTGAAAAGAGAATAGCTTCAATAGTGGAAAAAAATATTATTTAAATGTTTATCTTAGTTTCTCTAGCGAAGTTGGTTAAACCTGACTTTCGCGGCGGCCAGGTGACGAACTCCTTGTGGTCCGGGTTCACTCCCGGGGGTAGGCAGAAAAGCCACATTTCTCCCAGATTAACGGTACCTATAATGGAATCAAGGCCGAAGGGTTGCGATATCCATAGTACCGAGCCAAAGGGTTTACAACTCATGGTTTCTGGATACGTTAAAAAAAAAAAAATCTTAGTTTTCAGTTCTTTACCTCATTCATTGGTTTTTGGATCATCTTACTTTGGATCTTGGCCCCCATAGTGTAGCGGCTAGATGTTAACCTAATGGTCAAGAGTTCAAATCTGCACCTAGCTGGATTTGTTTTCAAAAATGACCTTGGCTGCAAGGTCACCAAAGCTTAAATTGGGTATCAGGCAACAATATATCTAAATATGGCCAGCACGATGTTGACCACATAATCCACCGAATGCCAATCAATCTATAAAATACAGGTCTAACCTTATATACCCAGTATGCCTAGAAGCGTGGAAAAGGGCCCTTCACTTGACCGACAACAGAAGATAATCACATTGTTTACTTCACTTGACCGACCACAGAAGATAATCACATTGTTTACTTAACTTGACCGACCACGGAAGATAATCACATTGTTTACTTAACTTGACCGACCACAGAAGATAATCACATTGTTTACTTAACTTGACCGACCACAGAAGATAATCACATTGTTTACTTAACGTGACCGACCACAGAAGATAATCACATTGTTTACTTAACTTGACCGACCACAGAAGATAATCACATTGTTTACTTAACTTGACCAACCACAGAAGATAATCACATTGTTTACTTAACTTGACCGACCACAGAAGATAATCACATTATTTACTTAACTTGACCGACCACAGAAGATAATCACATTGTTTACTTAACTTGACCGACCACAGAAGATAATCACATTGTTTACTTGACTTGACCGACCACAGAAGATAATCACATTGTTTACTTGACTTGACCTACCACAGAAGATAATCACATTGTTTACTTGACTTGACCGACCACAGAAGATAATCACATTGTTTACTTGACTTGACCGACCACAGAAGATAATCACATTGTTTACTATCTGTCTGACAGGGCCAGTCAACTTTTACAATAACCTTTTTTTTTTTTTTGGTCATGTCCACAGCAAATGACAATCAAGGAATTTTATTTCAAGATTTATCCTAAAAAATTATGCACCTTCCGAGTTTGTCCTTGGACTAAAGTAAGCTGTGTATTATTTTGTCATTTCTGGTTGATTGTTTTTATTTTTCCATCATAACACAGGTCAATTTAGGGAGCACTTTGAAAATTATTATATAATCACCTGTCTTTTGAGAATGTTCAGGTCAGTCATGATTGATAATACATTTTGAGAGTTCATTGCTTCAAACTTATTTATTCTAAAAATTATGCCAACATTCAATACACCATTAATAGCTTGCAGAAATAGTGGATTGGATGGTGAACCGTGTATCTGGATTTGACTGTCCACCATTGCATCCACTCTGAGTGTAGTCATCGTAAATTCACCTGATTTGAAATCATTTAAGTGACATTCTACCTGTGTGTTGCCGGTCTCCTGACATTCTACCTATGTGTTGCCAGTCTCCTGACATTCTACCTGTGTGTTGCCAGTCTCCTGACATTCTACCTATCTGTTACCAGTCTCCTGACATTCTATCTGTGTGTTGCCAGTCTCCTGACATTCTACCTATGTGTTGCCAGTCTCCTGACATTCTACCTATCTGTTACCAGTCTCCTGACATTCTACCTTTGTGTTGCCAGTCTCCTGACATTCTACCTATCTGTTACCAGTCTCCTGACATTCTACCTGTGTGTTACCAGTCTCCTGACATTCTACCTATCTGTTACCAGTCTCCTGACATTCTACCTGTGTGTTACCAGTCTCCTGACATTCTACCTGTGTGTTGCCAGTCTCCTGACATTCTACCTTTCTGTTACCAGTCTCCTGACATTCTACCTATCTGTTACCAGTCTCCTGACATTCTACTTATGTGCTACCAGTTTCCTGACATTCTACCTGTGTGTTGCCAGTCTCCTGACATTCTACCTGTGTGTTGCTGGGCTCCTGACATTATACCTGTGTGTTGCCGGTCTCCTGACATTCTACCTGTGTGTTGCCAGTCTCCTGACATTCTACCTATCTGTTGCCAGTCTCCTGACATACACCTGACATTTCCGGACCTGTGTGTTGCCGGTCTCCTGACATTCTACCTGTGTGTTGCCGGTCTCCTGACATTCTATCTGTGTGTTGCCGGTCTCCTGACATTCTACTGGTGTGTTGCTGGGCTCCTGATATTCTACCTGTGTGTTGCCGGGCTCCTGACATTCTACCTATGTGTTGCTGCGCTCCTGACATTCTACCTGTGTGTTGCCGGGCTCCTGACATTCTATCTATGTGTTACCAGTCTCCTGACATTCTATCTGTGTGTTGCCAGTCTCCTGACATTCTACCTGTGTGTTGTCAGTCTCCTGACATTCTACCTATGTGTTGCTGGGCTCCTTACATTCTACCTGTGTATTGCTGGGCTCTTGATATTCTACCTGTGTGTTGCTGGGCTCCTGATATTCTACCTGTGTGTTGCTGGGCTCCTGACATTCTACCTATGTGTTGCTGCGCTCCTGACATTCTACCTGTGTGTTGCCAGTCTCCTGATATTCTACCTATGTATTGCCAGTCTCCTGACATTCTACCTATGTGTTGCCAGTCTCCTGACATTCTACCTGTGTGTTGCCAGTCTCCTGACATTCTACCTGTGTGTTGCCAGTCTCCTGACATTCTACCTATGTGTTACCAGTCTCCTGACATTCTACCTGTGTGTGGCCGGGCTCCTGACATTCTACCTGTGTATTGCTAGGGTCCTGACATTCTACGTGTGTGTTGCCAGTCTCCTGACATTCTACCTATGTGTTGCTGGTCTCCCAACATTATACCTATGTGTTGCTGGTCTCCTGACATTCTACCTATGTGTTGCCAGTCTCCTGACATTCTACCTGTGTGTTGCTGGGCTCCTGACATTCTACCTGTGTGTTGCTGGGCTCCTGATATTCTACCTGTGTGTTGCCGGCCTCCTGACATTCTACCTATGTTTTGCCAGTCTCCTGACATTCTACCTGTGTATTGCTGGGCTCCTGACATTCTACCTGTGTATTGCTGGGCTCCTGATATTCTACCTGTGTGTTGCCTGGCTCCTGACATTCTACCTGTGTATTGCTGGGCTTCTGACATTCTACCTGTGTTTTGCTGGGCTCCTGACATTCTACCTGTGTGTTGCTGGGCTCCTGTTATTCTACCTGTGTGTTGCCAGTCTCCTGACATTCTACCTGTGTGTTGCCAGTCTCCTGATATTCTACCTGTGTGTTGCCTGGCTCCTGACATTCTACCTGTGTGTTGCTGTGCTCTGTAGAGGTGAAGACACAACAGCAGCCCTGAAACCAAAACTACTTTGCTTGTTTGTAAATGTTGAATTTAGAATCAACATTATAGCACTCAGGACACCCCCTTAAGCACCCTGTCCCCATCTTCAGCAGCAAGCCAAGAGTTCCAATTTCGATCGTACCAGTAACTGACTGTTTGTATATCCATTTCACTTTTTCCCCCTGAGTTTATACATCACTTCATCACCAAGTGGTGCAGAACTGGCCATTCTATCTGCCTGCTCATTTCCCAACATGTTGGCATGACCTGGAGAAAATATCCAAAGGATGCTAACTACCCAGGACCTCCAAAGTGATGCTTGCCACTCTGCATGGAGCATGCCTGACTCCACCTTTATCAGCATGCTCTGTGAGTCAGTTACAATGACAGCATGTGTGCACAGCTGATTCTCAAGCCAGCGGAAGGCAGCAGTGACTGCCTCCACCTCTATTCTCAAACTAGACGTTGTGATATCATATGCCAGGCTTTGTTGTGCTAAACGAAGTCCATTTACTTTTTTCTTATGTGTAACAGACAGCTAACGAAGTTTGATAAATAATAAGCTGCCGAATCGCATAGAAAGCCCTCAAAGCGCTCGGCTTGTACCCCTGGGAGATTACAGGAAGATAAAGACATTGCCTGTTGACAGTGCCAAACAGTCAGCTGAGTTTGTTCTTTGTCAGCTGAGTTTGTTCTTTGTCAGCTGAGTTTGTTCTTTGTCAGCTGAGTTTGTTCTTTGTCAGCTGAGTTTGTTCTTTGTCAGCTGAGTTTATTCTTTGTCAGATGAGTTTGTTCTTTTTCTGCATTTTAGCTCCCACTGGAGCATAAGCCCTCATCCAGCTGATGCTTGTGTCCTTGTTTTTACCATCTCTAGTCTTCCTCCTCTTACTCATCTGACTGTTGTTCTCTTCTCTGTGTGCGTTTTCTTTTCCATTCATTACTTTTGACTGTGGATTCCAGAAACAAATATGAAGATCGGTTTAAAAATATCAGTGTGAAGAAATTATGGAACTTCTTTGCATGGGAAAGCATTCAGATGTGGGTTTACCATGATTATATCACACATGCCATACATTTTATTTCTTAGGCATCTTTTATAGTTTGAAGTTATTTTTGTTGAAGGAAAATATAGTTTCAGTCAAACTAGAAGCTTTAAATCAAGCATGTTATTAAATTCAATCAGAGATCAAACTTATGTCTTATCTTCTTCTTTTTCTTCTTCTTCTTCTTCTTCTTCTTCTTCTTCTTCTTCTTCTTCTTCTTCGTCTTCTTCCCCATCTTCTTCTTTGTTGACTAGCTGTGAGCTCCAGTGGAAAGTCCTGGTTGCTTGTCTATTTGGACTTTGACTTGATGCCAGGGCCTGAGTTTTTTGTGTACATCCATTTTTCTGGCTTATTTGTGTGTTGTTGTTTGTTCCTTGCTGCTCGGGCAGATGCACTCCGACTTCGAAGAAAGCTCCCAATGTGTCTACTTCTACAACCTGCTTCTTGGGAGGTAGTGGATCTGTTTTTGTTTTCCCCACAGTAGAGCCCAAGAACCCACACATTGATTATGACATTGAAGAGGTGACCTCAGTGCTGAGCATTGTATCTGATTGTGTGTCCTTTCTGGCAGGTGGGTCTATATTGCTTCATCTTGCAATATCGTGCTTACTTTCCAACTGTCCAGATATTGTCTATCTGTACAATCTGTGTATAGATCCTGCTTATATATGCATGGATCCTGCTGCAACATATGCATGGATCCTGTTATAACATATGCATAGATCCTTCTGCAACTTACACATGGATCCTGCTACAACATACATGTGGATCCTGCTATAACATATGCATAGATCCTGCTACAACTCACACATGGATCCTGGTACAAAATACACGTGGATCCTGCTACAACATATGCATAGATCCTGCTACAACTCACACATGGATTCTGCTGCAACATACATGTGGATCCTGCTATAACATACGCATAGATCCTGCTACAACATACACATGGATCCTGCTACAACTCACACATGGATCCTGCTACAAAATACATGTGGATCCTGCTATAACAAATGCATAGATCCTGCTACAACTCACACATGGATCCTGCTGCAACATACACATGGATCCTGCTACAACATACACATGGATCCTGCTGGGTTATCTCTCTTATGTAATCCTGTCCCCCAAGATATAGTGGGAGCAGGCCATCACTAGCTTGGTTGTAAACATCCACTGCATCCACATCATCCATCAAACTAAGTCTGCTCCAACTGTTGACAAACATCATCCATCAAATGACGTCTGCTCCAACTGTTGACAAACATCATCCATCAAATGACGTCTGCTCCAACTGTTGACAAACATCATCCATCAAACCAAGACTGCTCCAGCTGTTGACAAACATCATCCATCAAACTAAGTCTGCTCCAACTGTTGACAAACATCATACATCAAACTAAGTCTGCTCCAACTGTTGACAAACATCATCCATCAAATGACGTCTGCTCCAACTGTTGACAAACATCATCCATCAAACTAAGTCTGCTCCAACTGTTGACAAACATCATCCATCAAACTAAGTCTGCTCCAACTGTTGACAAACATCATCCATCAAATGACGTCTGCTCCAACTGTTGACAAACATCATCCATCAAATGACGTCTGCTCCAACTGTTGACAAACATCATCCATCAAATGATGTCTGCTCCAACTGTTGACAAACATCATCCATCAAATGACGTCTGCTCCAACTGTTGACAAACATCATCCATCAAATGACGTCTGCTCCAACTGTTGACAAACATCATCCATCAAACCACGTCTGCTCCAACTGTTGACAAACATCATCCATCAAATGACGTCTGCTCCAACTGTTGACAAACATCATCCATCAAATGACGTCTGCTCCAACTGTTGACAAACATCATACATCAAACTAAGTCTGCTCCAACTGTTGACAAACATCATCCATCAAATGACGTCTGCTCCAACTGTTGACAAACATCATCCATCAAACCAAGACTGCTCCAACTGTTGACAAACATCATCCATCAAATGACGTCTGCTCCAACTGTTGACAAACATCATCCATCAAATGACGTCTGCTCCAACTGTTGACAAACATCATCCATCAAACCACGTCTGCTCCAGCTGTTGACAAACATCATCCATCAAACCACGTCTGCTCCAGCTGGTGACAAACATCATCCATCAAACCACGTCTGCTCCAGCTGGTGACAAACATCATCCATCAAACCACGTCTGCTCCAGCTGGTGACAAACATCATCCATCAAACCACGTCTGCTCCAGCTGGTGACAAACATCATCCATCAAACCAAGACTGCTCCAGCTGTTGACAAACATCATCCATCAAACCACGTCTACTCCAGCTGGTGACTAACATCATCCATCAAAATACGTCTGCTCCAGCTGGTGACAATCATCATCCATCAAACCAAGTCTGCTCCAGCTGGTGACAAACATCATCCATCAAACCACGTCTGTTCCAGCTGGTGACAAACATCATCCATCAAAATACGTCTGCTCCAGCTGGTGACAATCCTCATCCATCAAACCACATCTGCTCCAGCTGGTGACAAACATCATCCATCAAACCACGTCTGTTCCAGCTGGTGACAAACATCAGGAATCAAACCAAGTCTGCTCCAGCTGGTGACAATCATCATCCATCAAACCACATCTGCTCCAGCTGGTGACAAACATCATCCATCAAACTACGTCTGTTCCAGCTGGTGACAAACATCAGGAATCAAACCACGTCTACTCCAGCTGGTGACTAACATCATCCATCAAAATACGTCTGCTCCAGCTGGTGACAATCATCATCCATCAAACCAAGTCTGCTCCAGCTGGTGACAAACATCATCCATCAAAATACGTCTGCTCCAGCTGGTGACAATCATCATCCATCAAACCAAGTCTGCTCCAGCTGGTGACAAACATCATCCATCAAAATACGTCTGCTCCAGCTGGTGACAATCATCATCCATCAAACCACATCTGCTCCAGCTGGTGACAAACATCAGGAATTAAACCAAGTCTGCTCCAGCTGGTGACAAACATCAGGAATTAAACCAAGCCTGCTCCAGCTGGTGACAAACATCAGGAATCAAACCAAGTCTGCTCCAGCTGGTGACAATCATCATCCATCAAACCAAGTCTGCTCCAGCTGGTGACAAAACATCATCCATCAAAATACGTCTGCTCCAGCTGGTGACAATCATCATCCATTAAACCACATCTGCTCCAGCTGGTGACAAACATCAGGAATTAAACCAAGCCTGCTCCAGCTGGTGACAAACATCAGGAATCAAACCAAGTCTGCTCCAGCTGGTGACAAACATCATGCCTTGAGGACTCTCCGAGAGCAGCCTGGCTTTAATCCCATTTAAATTAACTTTTGTCTCAATGTAAGTTGTCTTCTGTCCCAATGTAAGTTGTCTTCTGTCCCAATGTAAGTTGTCTTCTGTCCCAATGTAAGTTGACTTCTGTCCCAATGTAAGTTTTCTTCTGTCCCAATGTCAGTTGTCTTCTGTCCCAATGTAAGCTGTCTTCTGCCCCAATGTAAGTTGACTTCTGTCCCAATGTAAGTTGTCTTTTGTCCCAATGTAAGTTGGAATCATCAGGAATCAAACCAAGTCTGCTCCAGCTGGTGACAAACATCATGCCTCGAGGACTCTCCGAGATCAGCCTGACTTTAATCCCATTTAAATTAACCTTTGTCTCAATGTAAGTTGTCTTCTGTCCCAATGTAAGTTGTCTTCTGTCCCAATGTAAGTTGTCTTCTGTCCCAATGTAAGTTGACTTCTGTCCCAATGTAAGTTGTCTTCTGTCCCAATGTCAGTTGTCTTCTGTACCAATGTAAGCTGTCTTCAGTCCCAATGTAAGTTGACTTCTGTCCCAATGTAAGTTGTCTTCTGTCCCAATGTAAGTTGACTTCTGTCCCAATGTAAGTTGACTTCTGTCTAGTTTTGAGTTGACCCATGTCCCCTTTGCATTGACTTCTGTCCCATTTTAAGCTGACTTCAACCCTGTATTTACACCCTTTCTGTGCCTTGAAGACCTGAACTAAGTGGTCAACACTGACCAGGCCTGTGTTATGTTTAGCCGTGGCTTCTCTCCCCTGTTAAGTTGTGTGTGTGTTTATTCTTTCCTTTTGCTGACATTTTCTTTGCTTGTCATGTCCCCAGACAATGTCAGTGACATTTTCTTTGCTTGTCATGTCCCCAGACAATGTCAGTGACATTTTCTTTGCTTGTCATGTCCCTAGACAATGTCAGTGACATTTTCTTTGCTTGTCTTGTCCCCAGACAATGTCAGTGACATTTTCTTTGCTTGTTATGTCCCCAGACAATGTCAGTGACATTTTCTTTGCTTGTTATGTCCCCAGACAATGTCAGTGACATTTAAGCACAACAGCAGCATAGGGATAAAAAGCAGCAACATATTTTGTACTGATGTGCTTTACCTATTTGCTGTAGTGGTGTGCTTTACCTATGAGCTGTACTGATGTGCTGTACCTATGAGCTGTACTGGTGTGCTTTAACTATGTGCTGTAGTCATTTGTGCTGTGTTTATAATCAGTACTAGTTAGATGTACGAATGTGCTTGTTATTTTCAGTTTGTATTTAACGGAGTCAGCAGCCAGTATGATGTACCTACATTCAGTATAGAAGACGGGAGTCAACCGTCAGTGGAACTAGCTGCCAGAGACCGTAACACCATCGCTGCAACCTTCTCCTGCTTCCTGCTCAAAAGTATCGGTATGCATTTGCTTTTAAATATTTTCTTTCTTCAAATCATTAGGACATAAATAAACAATAAGTTAAAGTTAGTTGTGCATTCTTTACAGAACCTTGCAGAAACAACTTAGCATTGTTTGGCATTCTATATATCTATAGGTTAAAATCAACACCAGATCATCTGCAGCTGGAATTGAAACGGGTATCTAAGATTTACGAAGCACGTTCCCAACTCCTAAACCACTGTTGCTGACATATATAGTACATTTGAACTGCCTGTTGTATCTTTTTCGGTGCATACTACAAAACAACACACGTTGTTGATTGTTCATTTTAAGATTGTCTTCATTGTCTGTCAGATATTACCCTCAAGTGCTCTGATCTTCTCTTAAGCCTGTCTCTTAGTGTGTTTCTGCTCTCCTCTTCTGTAATGGTTGATAGACCGACCGTGAGTGTTCCATTGTTTTTACGCCACGCTGCTCCACCAAAGAAAAGAAGGTTACAGGTAGCATATTGATGCCAGACTTGGACACTGAAAAACTCAACTGTTTAAAGTCAGTACTTATGAGATGGTGCACCAGAGCAAAATCACCAGTTTACCTGCCTAAGAATGAATATGACATGATGCTGACAGACATACTTTGGGAAGATTTTGTATCAATACATTAAGAAATGCAATGTTACAGGGTTTGAACAACCTTTTGCGAGGGAACGTCAATAAATAAATCATACGAAAAAAAATTTTCTTTCAAACTAAAGATGATAACAACTTGAAAACTATATTTTTACACATATATTGTCCCTTTATTTTTCAACATAATTTCCGCCAACATTGATGCACTTGTCCCATCATTTTATCAGTCCTGCTGCATAGAACTGAGTGCTGTGTTTTCTTAACCACATTTTCACTTCACATTCAAATTCTGCATCCTTTGCGAAATGTCTCCCACCAGTGTGGGTTTTCAGTGGACAAAAAAGTTGAAAATCGCTAGGGGCTAGGTTGGGGCTGTAGGGTGAATTTTCCAGAAGTTTCCACCCTAGATGGTTAATTTTCTCCTGAGGTAACCAAGCCATATGTGGTCTAGCATTGTCATAAAGGAGCAGTACCCCGTTAGTCAACAGGTCTGGACGTTTTCTTCAAATTGCATCGTGAAGCATTGATAGAACTTTACAGTGTTAATCAGCATCCACATTGTTATCTCTTCTGTTTTCTTTTAAGGTAGTTAAAAGCATGTCTTCTCCTTTATCTGCAAATTGACAGAGATGCTGCAAGGACAGGCCTAATTGTTTCATTTTGTGTTCGTTCGTCAATTGTCTGAATGCCCACCTTAAGCACACTTTCGGTAATTTCAATCAGTAATGCTCAGCTATGTGAGCACCCTATTGCAGCTGCTGCAGAGTCAACCGTTACTCGCCTGTCACCTCTAATCATCTCCTCCACCCCCTGCACTGATGCGTCTGTTACAATCTCAACAGGATGACCAGATCGGATTTTATTAACAATTTTAGAGCGTCCTTGAGGAATTTTCTTTTTACCTTGCTTTGCACCACTTTGCAGGATAAACATTTTTCAGCATAAACAGGACATTTCTTTATGATTTTCATTTGCAGGCAGTTCCCCCCCCCCCCCCCCCCCAAAAAAAAACAGCACCTTGTTCTTTGATGGTACACTCTGTAGGTACAGTCGCCATTTTTTTCTGTGTTGTGAATGCGCATTTAACACCTAGCACCACCTAATGAATGGAGACATAAAAAGTTTGATGTTGCTGTCACTTAATGACACCTTTAGAAACAACCAACTACATTTTCCTGTCATCCCATAACCATTTGTGACTTACATATTGACTTCCCCTCGTATAATGTACAACATACTATCAACACATGCACTACATCTAAGAAGAGCTGATAGGGGGAGAAGAGAGGGCCCAAAGAAAGTTGGACTGATGATAATAAAAATATACATACATACATACATACATACATACATACATACATACATACATACATACATACATACATACATACATACATACATACATACATACATACATACATACATACATACATACATACATACATACATACATACATACATACATACATACATACATACATACATACATACATACATACATACATACATACATACATACATACATACATACATACATACATACATACATACATACATACATACATACATACATACATACATACATACATACATACATACATACATACATACATACATACATACATACATACATACATACATACATACATACATACATACATACATACATACATACATACATACATACATACATACATACATACATACATACATACATACATACATACATACATACATACATACATACATACATACATACATACATACATACATACATACATACATACATACATACATACATACATACATACATACATACATACATACGTACGTACATATGTACGTACGTACGTACAAACTGGGGGCTTCAAATAAAAACCTTAAACATTACAGTAACCATGTCATTGTCTTCTTCCCTGTCAATATTGTTGTTAAGAGTGTTAATCACATCATATCATATTGCAGATGGACATGATGATATCATAATGACAGTTTAAAAATCTGCCTTTGTTTTGAAATGTAACAGAGAGGAGCAGCATTCTTTTATCAGCTTGTTGTTTTGAATCAGTTCAAGGGTGAAACCTAAAGAAATAAATTGGTGAATGAAAGTCCGGTCTGGGGATGCATGTCTGTCAGTCTAGCAGGTATAGGAGTCAGCAGATTCAAAAGGCATTTTGAAATGTTGTATATATATATATATATGTATCGCTATCCATCTACAAGTTGGATTTATAACTGTTGTGGTCACTTCAGGCATATTGCATATGTATGGCTAGATCTATATTTTATGGACCAAAGGGTGCTTGGTGGCTGATGCGATCAGCATCATTCTGGCCGCCTTTTGGGTTGACCTGGGAGCCAAGGTCATTTTTGTTTAAATCCAACCCCTGTCAGAACCCAAACCCACAACCTTCGTATCCGCAGGCAAGCCTCTAGCTGCTAGACCATGACGGCTCCCAATTGTTGTGGTAACATTGTTAGTTGTTTATACTGCTGACATTATGGTTTTACAAACTGTCTTTCCTGGAATCCCTTGCCCAGCCCTTCTCAAGCATTTCATCTGACACTGAGATGTTGCTCAATTTTGAGAATAACTTCTGGAAGAAACATTCCACTTATCACAAAATTTGACTTACATCGTCATCTTTGGTGATTGGGTAAAGATAGCAGCTGATGAGTCTTGTTTACCTGTTGGCAGCCATTTCTGATATGCCTCTGTGAATGTTCTCACTGATTTGTTGTTTATATTCCTTGCTTTCAGGAGGTTCTGAGACTTTCAATGACAAGCGAGAGTTTTTCTATCGTGAAATCCGAGCCACTCATCACAAGCGATCGCACTCCAGCTTCGTACTCAAAGTGGACAGGTCCAACTTGCTTCAGAGTGTGAGTATCTAGATTATCATCTCACAAACAAACTTGAGAGAGACAAGCCTTGTGACTCTGTCCTTCATGTGACATTCCACAAACATCCTTGAGAGAGACAAGCCTTGTGACTGTATCCCTCATGTGACATTCCACAAACATCCTTGAGAGAGACAAGCCTTGTGAGTCTGTCCTTCATGTGACATTCCACAAACATCCTTGAGAGAGACAAGCCTTGTGAGTCTGTCCTTCATGTGACATTCCACAAACATCCTTGAGAGAGACAAGCCTTGTGAGTCTGTCCTTCATGTGACATTCCACAAAAATACTTGATAGAGACAAAACTTGTGACTCTCTCCTCCATGTGTCACAGGGAAACTGGGTTTATGTACACATTTTTTCGTTAGTACATCAGGGATGCCATAATTTGTTGCTGCTGAAATAATCTAGTAACTGTTTGATATACAAGAGGATAACCCAGTGGCCCTGTGTGCTTTAGAAGAGGCTACCCCAAAGACTGTATGTGATATACAAGAGGATAACCCAGTGGCCCTGTGTGCTTTAGAAGAGGCTACCCCAAAGACTGTATGTGATATACAAGAGGCTTGTTTGATGACTATACGAAACAAAGAAGTGGATAATTAACAAATGTTTGTAACATACAAGAAGTTACCCCAGTGGCCGTACATAGACAGAAGAGGATTACCAAAGTGACTATATTTTTGTGTGTGTGTGATAAGGAACTACCTACATGATTTTCTATAACATATTAATTGCTATTGCAGTGACTTTATTTTACACAAAAGGATCTTTGTCTGTGACTGTATAACAGAAGGGGTGCCCCCAGTAACTATTTGTGACATGGAGAGGCTACTCCTGTGACTTTATGTGACATGGAGAGGCTACTCCTGTGACTTTATGTGACATGACATGGGTTACCAGCTTCAGTCTCTTGATGTTCTACAGTCTTGTTGAATGGATCCACTTATTGTTCTGCACTCTATTTGAATTAATGTTCTTGTTGTTTTGCACTCTGTTTGGAATAATGTTCTTGTTGTTCTGCACTCAGTTTGAATCAATGTGTCTTTTTGTTTTGTTCTTTGTTTGAAATCAATGTTCTTGCTGTTCTGCACTCTGTTTGATTCAGTTTTCTTGTTGTTCTGCACTCTGTTTGAATCAATGTTCTTGTTGTTCTGCACTCAGTTTGAATCAGTGTTCTTGTTCTGCACTCTGTTTGAATCAGTGTTCTTTTTGTTGTGCACTGTGTTTGAATCAATGTGCTTGTTATTCCAGTCATACAAGGCCACTAAGAACCTGAATTTGTGTGACTGGTGTAAACGTTTTGAGGTGATCTTCTCCGGAGAGCAAGGTTTGGACTGGGGAGGAGTCAGCAGAGAATGGTTTGAGGTTTTGTGCAAGGAGATCTTTGACCCAAATGGTTCAGAGTTGTTCACAAGACTTACAGAGGACCCACAGGGATTGGTGAGTTATCTCTTTATGGCTGGCAAACTTAGGCAACCAATTTTAAGCAAGACCTTCCCACTAAGCATAAAGCTGAAATCTGTTGACAGGAACATACAAACACCCAAGGAGGAAACATGACCCACTGGGGTCTGCTGCCTAGCTAGTGTGTCATGTGCTGTGCTGCATCGTGACCTGAATACATGTGTGCAGTGTGTGGACACACCAAATAAAGCACACATTCTAGAATGTTCTAGAGGTAAAAATGAAGGACTGTTGTCCACCCATGAGTCTTGTTGGGTATACAGTGATATCTCCATGTTTTGTTGTTCTGGGTGGGGGGGATGGTTTTCTGCAACAAAGGATGGACAGTAGCAACATTCATTTGTTCACAGAGCTACACATCACGTGGCTGAATCCATCCTTCACACTAAGCCTTCACTTATCCACCCTTCTGTCAGCCAGCCTTATCAACACAACAGGATAATTTGACAGTTGACAAGTGACAGCAGACACTATGGACTCATCACTGGTTCCACTTCATCAGTAAATGCATTCTGCCATTTTTTTTTTCTTTTAGTCAAGCGTTGAATGTGTGGTAGAATCGTCAGTTGTAAGTTATCTCTACCAATCACTTCTAATAATCTGTGTGTTGATGTGTGGTAGAATCGTCAGTTGTAAGTTAGCTCTACCAATCACTTCTGATAATCTGTGTGTTGATGTGTGGTAGAATCGTCAGTTGTAAGTTAGCTCTACCAATCACTTCTGATAATCTGTGTGTTGATGTGTGGTAGAATCGTCAGTTGTAAGTTAGCTCTACCAATCACTTCTGATAATCTGTGTGTTGATGTGTGGTAGAATCCTCAGTTGTAAGTTAGTTCTACCAATCACTTCTGATAATCTGTGTGTTGATGTGTGGTAGAATCCTCAGTTGTAAGTTTGTTCTACCAATCACTTCTGATAATCTGTGTGTTGATGTGTGGTAGAATCGTCAGTTGTAAGTTAGTTCTACCAATCACTTCTGATAATCTGTGTGTTGATGTGTGGTAGAATCGTCAGTTGTAAGTTAGCTCTACCAATCACTTCTGATAATCTGTGTGTTGATGTGTGGTAGAATCGTCAGTTGTAAGTTAGCTCTACCAATCACTTCTGATAATCTGTGTGTTGATGTGTGGTAGAATCGTCAGTTGTAAGTTAGCTCTACCAATCACTTCTGATAATCTGTGTGTTGATGTGTGGTAGAATCGTCAGTTGTAAGTTAGCTCTACCAATCACTTCTGATAATCTGTGTGTTGATGTGTGGTAGAATCGTCAGTTGTAAGTTAGCTCTACCAATCACTTCTGATAATCTGTGTGTTGATGTGTGGTAGAATCCTCAGTTGTAAGTTAGTTCTACCAATCACTTCTGATAATCTGTGTGTTGATGTGTGGTAGAATCCTCAGTTGTAAGTTTGTTCTACCAATCACTTCTGATAATCTGTGTGTTGATGTGTGGTAGAATCGTCAGTTGTAAGTTAGTTCTACCAATCACTTCTGATAATCTGTGTGTTGATGTGTGGTAGAATCGTCAGTTGTAAGTTAGCTCTACCAATCACTTCTGATAATCTGTGTGTTGATGTGTGGTAGAATCGTCAGTTGTAAGTTAGCTCTACCAATCACTTCTGATAATCTGTGTGTTGATGTGTGGTAGAATCCTCAGTTGTAAGTTAGTTCTACCAATCACTTCTGATAATCTGTGTGTTGATGTGTGGTAGAATCGTCAGTTGTAAGTTAGCTCTACCAATCACTTCTGATAATCTGTGTGTTGATGTGTGATAGAATCGTCAGTTGTGAGTTGGAATGATCTTCAATTTACCATTCCTAATCTTGATCCATCTCTTTACTTCAGGATGGGGGGGGGGGGGGGGGGGGGGGGGTGTATGTGAAGAGGCTAGTTTTGAGTGTACAGAGAGCACGTCTGCATCAATTAAATCTCATGATTATATTTGCCAAAATTACCTTTCCCAGGTTCACCCAAATCCCAAGAGGCCGCCTGACAAGAAGATCAAGTTGTACGAGTTTGCTGGGAAAATTGTAGGCAAGTGTTTGTTCGAATCTTCCATTGGCAGGACACAGCTGGTCAAGGCTAGTTTCTCAAGGTCATTTCTGGCTCAGCTGATAGGTCTCAGGGTCACATACAAGGTGATTATTGTTTGTTGTCCATTGGTTGAGTTTTATTGCCACGTGGTATTGACCGTTTTGTGATTTAAAATGACCCATTTTAATGCCTTAAGGCATATTCGGCTTAGGACACTCCTCTGTTTGTTATGCAGGTTAATATTCTAAAAATCCTGCCATCGATAATCCAGTTCCTTCTGATTTCCATTGTGGTGGCTTTCATGGCACATTTTCAAATTGATTGTGTTGGCCCGCCACAGTTTTCTGGAAGTGTTGTTTATGTTTTGATAACGCTGTAGATCAGAATCAGCTGTTTGGGCTTGCATGTGCTTACGGTCAACTCCCATGTGCAAACACTTGTTAAGCAAACTGCTACAAAAGTATACCAACTGGCAAAAATTAAAAACTTTCTGGATAAAAAAACTAGGAAATTATTCTATACTTCTCATATTCAGACCCACATAGACTATTGCTCCACAATATGGGATGGATGTGCAAATTCAGTCATCAAACGGCTGAAAGCACTACACAGAAGGGCTGTTCGTTTAATAGCTAATAGTCATGAAAGTGTCTGTTCTCACCTATATAAAGAACTCATGCTATTACCTCTCCAGGAACGCATACTATTCAATAAAGCTAAACCTCTTAATAAAATCATATCTAAAAATGCCCCATGTTACCTTTGGCCATTATTTAAATACAATGGAAGACATAGCAAACGCCTTAACATATTGCATATCTCTAAACCTAGAATAGACCTATATAAAACAAGCTTAGCGTACTCTGCAGCTCAGCTGTGGAATAATCTTCCACCGGAAATAAAAAATATCAATAACCACTTTAGATACAATCGGAAACTATTTGAATATTATCTCACTACAGACTATATGCCCACTTAAAAGATTATAGTATGTTAAGGCTATGATTTATTTCCATGATATGTCTTAATAAAGTTTTTTTTTTTGTTTTTGGTTTAAAAACTGAAGGTTATTATTGTTTAAAACTGAAGATTGTAGTCGAATGCACTCCAATGTTGGTAACTAATATTTAATTGGTTTTGATGATGTTTATATTATGCAACCTGTAAGACTTACATCATTTTTGGAACAGGCTTATTATTATACTCTTTAAAACGTTCCAGTAATGTCTGTATAAATTAGAGCACATTCCAGACTTAGATATTGTAAATTTTTTTCTTATTTTCTTTTCTATATTTCTAAAGTTTTTAATTTTGCATTCCTCTTTTTATTATTATTAATATTAATGTTATTATTATTATTATTATTAACTATGAAATGAGGTACAAATGAAAAATTGTATGAAAGGAGCGGAGTGGAAGGGCAGAATGTTAGACGGGCCTGCGTGCCTAATTCTTAACCCTTTGAAAATAAAGTTTGTTCATTCGTTCGTTCCCCCGATTCCTTCTCGTTTTATAATTTATTTGCTGCTGTATAATACCATTGTGGGTTCAGCACAGAAAATAGTTGTAAAATTAAATATTTTGCGTTGACAATTGCAGACAGGATGCTAATTTTAACAACTTCAAAGTGGCAGGTCTCAGTAAACATTTGTGAAACATTGGCTTTTCAACAGTACAGTAGACTGCAATGTCTGGTCTACTGTGATGAGGCCAGATAACAAACCAGGAGGATATCCCAGACTTCTGTAAATACCAAGTTTCTTCCTTCTTAGGATCCATGCCCTGTGGTATGTGGTAGTCATGTCTATCCACAACTTTCTGTCTCACGTACTTCCAGTTAACTCTGACATAGATGATCTTTCATGCCATGTTGTCAAACCGTCCAGCATCTGTCTCTCGATCTCCCTCTGCCACTTCTCCCCTCCAACTTTCCAACTGTCTTGATGTACTCCAGTTTTCTCCTTCTCATCACATGACCAAAGAATGTAGATCGTCTCTTTCTACAGAATGTAGATTGTCTCTTTCTGATGTGGGCAGTCAGTTTCTTTTTGTGAGTCAGTTTCTTTTTGTGAGTAAGTTTCTTTCAAGACATATTCATTACTCTTTTTATCTGTCCAGAATATTCTCATCATACGTCTATAAAACCACATCTCCACAGCTTCTGAATAAGTTTTAACTAATTTACTAACTCTGTTTTCTACCCCACCAATATAATTAAAAACACAATTTGTTAAATACCAAAACCCGCTCTTGTTAATAATTTCTGAGTTCAGTACAGGCCAGTACTTTCTGAATGTTTCTTGTATATTTCACTGAATGTTTGGAATCTTTCGTATGTAGAAAGGAAGTCTATATATATATAAATATATATACTGTTCCTAGTTTAAGATAAAATTTTCATGTCTACAGAAAAAACATATCGGTCACTCTAACCTGTTTTTGTTTATCACCCGTTTCGTAATTTGTCATCTAATAAAACAATGAAGGACACCAAACAACAATCTGATAAAGTTAGCCCCAACAGAACCAGACATACTCTGTGCTGTTGAAATCATGTACACAGCTGAGTGAGTGAAGAGTGTTAGCGGGGGCATCCACTTTTTGGTATTTCAGCTTGTTTTATGCACATGTGACACACACTTTCAGCTAGGTCGGATAATCATGAGCTGGACAATCAAAGTTCTACTGTATATAATTATTTGAAAAACAGACAGAAAAAACTGCTTAAATTGTTTTCTGACATTTGGTTAAAAATAAGCAAATGTTTGTAAATAAGTCAGTGATGGAGGGAAGAAGTTCAGAACTGAACAAAGTTTTCATGACCTGGTTTATTGTCTGTGTAAGTGAGGGTGTGAAGATTTCTGGTGGTGTATTCAAGGAACAAGCCAAAGTGTCTCATGCAGACGGGGGATTGCAACACAGCTGTGAATATTCAGAACGTTGACTGTGTTATTTCGGTGGCAACATGGCTTACAGTTCGATGCATGTGAGGTGGAAAATATTGTTTCTTTATGAAATGTCTAAGAACTGTTTGTTTTCGTAGTTCATCACTGACATTTGTTTCCCCTTCAGCATTTTGAAACAGATGATCCAGAATTTTACAGCAGCAAAATCTCCTACATCGAGAACAACGATGTGGACGACATGGAGCTCACGTTTTCCGAGGAAGTTTACAACACACAAGGGCAGCTAGTCAAGGTCAGTATCAGCCAAACTAACTGCATTTTATTGTATTTATTTTACTGATTATTGTTTGTACAGATCTTTTCTTTTGTGAGAAAGAACATTGCTTGATTTATTCATTCATGGTCTGTTTTCTTCTACATGAAAGTACTCCGCATGTACATCAATCATATTTCTTCTTTATCTGCCCAGGAAGATAAACTATTTGAGTCTTATGTCTTCTTCTTTCTTCTACTCTGGTAGATAAACCTTGCTTATTCTCCCTTTTTCTACCCTAAGATGAACAAGTTACCATACATTCCTATTTACAGTTTCGGTTTCTAACCTGGGATATGCAGACACACAAAAGTCTTGTCTGATTTGAACTTTGTATTATACAGTGTCAAAGATTCAAAATCATGCCCTCCACATTATGACAAGGCAATGAAATAGCAGACAAACTGGCCAAAAGTGACAGTGACATGATGTAATCATATTGCGACTAACTCACTAGAAGACGAAGACATTAATAAAAACTAGTATGCAGGAAAGGTGGCCGGATCCGGATACCAACACCAAATTTTCACCCCAAAACTCGCTTCATCGCCTCTCTAGAGGGGGACAATGTGTCATGTTCATAGTAAGGACTTTGATAATAGCCTTCGTCAACCTATAACAGGCGTATAAACACTTCCATGATCTGGAAGCCAGAAACAAAGCACCTTATGCAGCTCTCCAAAATCACTACTTGAAAGAAGAACCCATGCACAGCCAACTGCAAAAACCTCACAGGGATATACTGAACAGAACGTGTTTCATCCAGAACATAACTGCCAAGCTTGTTGACCTCAAACTCCCTCCTGTAGTAGCAAATATCCCACTGAAACTACAACCACTGCCCTCCACTCACACCCCTGGCTTAGGGATAACCAGCAAACAGTCACAACCACTGTAACAAACTCAACCCCTGGCTTAGGGATAACCTGCAAACAGTTACAACCACTGCCCTCCACTCAACCCCTGGCTTAGGGATAACCTGCAAACAGTCACAACCACTGTAAAAAACAAAAAAATATCTTTTGCAAATCATATATCAGCAGCTCTGCTATGAAGTCTGTTGTAGAATGAGACATTAACAGCCTTTATCTGCACCAAAGTTGGATTGAACTTTCTACAGATGGTTCAGCCATGAGGGCAGTCAGAGACGGAGGAGAATATACATAGAATGCCCACATGGTTTAACAGAATCTTTACCAGCAGGTTCATATTCCTCCAGCTACAGAGCAGAAGATACCTCTGGTGGCATGCTCGTTCCTGAATGGACAACAGCCCAGCAAATATAGCAGAGTGGTCTGTCTGACTGATGCTCAGTCAATTTTACAATGTTAACCCAAAAGACACACAGTTTGTAGACTTAATGCAACAGCTGTATCACTAAGGCTCTTCAGTAGAACAGTCTGTCCTGCAGTATATTTCAGGTCCCTGTGGCTTGGAAGACTGGCCAGAAACAGTGACATGATGCAGTCAGATTGTGACTTAACACTAAGAGACTAAGACATTTAAAAAAAAACTAGTATCCAAGGAATTGTTTTCTTCCAGGGTCACTTCATTGGCTCTCTAGAGAGGGAGGTTATGTTATATTGGGACTAAGGACAGGGAACAACAGAGTTCACCAACATGTGTTCAGGTTTTCCAGTGTAGGAACCATGCAGATATATCCCTGCAAGTGTGCTCCAAAACTGTAAACTGTATGCTGCAAATAGAGAAACAATCTGGCTTGTTACCAGCTCAGTCAAGACAAGGTTATGTGGTACACAGGGAGATCTGGACTGCACAATAGCTTCCATCAAGGCTAAAATGTTATCGATAAAGTTGCTCTAAAGACTGCTCATGTGGCTAAAGGAGTGACTGTGTTAAAGAAACCAAGGTCTCAAGTGTTATAAGAAGTTGACAAATTATTGTTAGCCACCGAGCCAACAATCAAACCAGGATAGAGACAAGAGAAAACAAAGTACCAGAAATACTGACGCAGTTGATCAGCATTATTAGGGAATGGGACTCTCTTTCGAAGGAATAATCTTCTTTCTCCTCCTCCTCTACCATCTACCTGTGCCTGCGACTATCAACGACAAAGGTTAATTATACTACCATGTATTTGATAGTTCATTTTTTTGGTCACACACAAATCCGTTTTATTTTAAAGTAAAAAAAAACAATATGTTTCTAGGGCAGGCAAATGGATTCATTGGATTTTTATTGATTTCAATGGAAAAAATTGTTTTGGCTCGTAAACGTTTCGGTTCACGCATGGAGTCAAAGAGCGAATAAAATGTGTGACCCGAAGTACCACTGAACAGTGACTTTGCTAAAGGAAAACAGGTGCTGCATGGCCCTCAGAAATAAACCCCAGAATTAAAAGGTTTTTGATTTTTGTGGGGGAGGGGGGGGCACTAGCAAGAACATATGCTTATTTGTAGTTCTTGAATTGATTTATGCATTGCAGGAAATAGACCTGATTGCCAATGGCTCGAAGATTGCAGTAACCAACAGCAACAAGCTGCGATACCTGGACGCTCTAGCCCAGCATCGTCTGGTGACCCCGGTCAAAGAGGAGGTTGAGAGCTTCCTGAGAGGATTAAATACCGAGTTGATCCCAGAGAATCTGCTGAGTATATTTGATGAGTATGAGCTGGAGGTGAGGACAATGCTGTTTCTTGTATTATATTGTACTAAATGACATTTATGATCACATTTTTCCATGTTTAATTGTAGCTTTATAACAAATCAATAGATTTTAATTTGTAGACATGTGTGAGTGTGTGTATGCATGTGTAAGTCTTTTTCTGCAGCTAAATGGGGTCTTATTGGCAAAGTGGTCAAGCAATTTGTCTTGCGGTGTGTGAAGGTCATGGGTTCATTTCACGAATGTGTCTTTCAGTTCACAAGAGCAATTTTTACAGAGATTCCTAGGGGTAATGGCAGATGTTTGGAGTTCTTGCTTTGTGCGACACTCTCGGCAGGCGGCTAGCCATACTCTGAAGAGAGACTGAGCCATATGAGATTAACCTAGTGCAACTTTCACTTTATTCAGCATTCTGAGCCCTTGAGGTTATTGATTAGCCTTCATCATCAGAACCTTCTGTCAAACTGACATACCATATTTCCCAAGTGTGACATGCACTTATTTAAACAAAAATGCAGGCTCTAAAAACTGTGCGTTTTATACAATGGTAGTAGATTTTTACAAAATCACGTTATGTTTTCCAAATTTCCAATCTCAAGGAGTGTTGTATACAAGGGATTATGTTATTCCTCTGAAAATATGGTGTATTTTAAATTTTGTTCTGTCTTTTTTATCCTTTATTATCTTTTTCTATCCTTTCTTTCTTTTCTTTTTCTATCTTTTCTTTCTCATCTTTTGCTTTCCTGTCTTTCTTACCTTTTGCTATCCTGTCTTTCTTACCTTTTGCTATCCTGTCTTTCTTATCTTTTTCAATCCTTTCTTTCTTATCTTTTTCTATCATTTCTTTCTTATCTTTTTCTATCCTTTCTTTCTTATGTTTTTCTATCTCTTCTTTCTTATCTTTTGCTATCCTTTCTTTCTTATCTTTTTCTATCCTTTCTTTCTTATCTTTTTTCTGTCTCTTTCTTATCTTTTTCTATCCTTTCTTTCTTATCTTTTTCTATCCTTTCTTTCTTATCTTTTTCTATCCTTTCTTTCTTATGTTTTTCTATCCTTTCTTTCTTATCTTTTTTTCTATCCTTTCTTTCTTATCTGTTTCTATATTTTCTTTCTTATCTTTTCTATCCTTTCTTTCTTATCTTTTCTATCTGTTGTGGGAACAGTGGATCTGTGGACATCTGAAAGATCTGGGCTGTCAATAATAATGTAAGCCACGCCAGCTTTGTGACCAAGAGGATTGGAGGGCCGTGATCACTGATGTCTATTCTAGACTGAACATTTGAAGATGGCTCCATCATGAAATTAGCACAGCAGGAATCTTCTCATCAACACAAGTCCCCTTTCTGCAGATATGTTGGTCTCTTTATCTTCTTCCTTTCTGTGTCATGACTTTCCAGAGTTGTTCCCCTGTCGTGCCTACAAATCTTGCATGCCCCAGAGTTGTTTCCCTGCCATGTCTACAAATCTTGCATGCCCCAGAGTTGTTTCCCTGTCATGCCTACAAATCTGGCATGCCCCAGAGTTGTTTGCCTGTCATACCTACAAATCTTGCATGCCCCAGAGTTGTTCCCCTGTCATGTCTACAAATCTTGCATGCCCCAGAGTTGTTCCTCTGTCATGTCTACAAATCTTGCTTGCCCCAGAGTTGTTCCCCTGTCATGTCTACAAATCTTGCATGCCCCAGAGTTGTTCCCCTGTCATGTCTACAAATCTTGCATGCCCCAGAGTTGTTCCTCTGTCATGTCTACAAATCTTGCATGCCCCAGAGTTGTTCCTCTGTCATGTCTACAAATCTTGCATGCCCCAGAGTTGTTCCCCTGTCATGCCTACAAATCTTGCATGCCCCAGAGTTGTTCCCCTGTCATGTCTACAAATCTTGCATGCCAACTTCCTGACAAAACTAAGAAAGGGTAATGTTTCCTGAGCTGAACGACATGTTGGAGTGTGTGTGTGTGCCTGGTGGGATGTAATTATGTTACTGACCACTCACTTGTTTAATTCTCCCCCTACTGCAGCTCCTCATGTGTGGAACCGGCACCTATAGCATCGCTGACTTCAAGCTCCACCATAATGTTGTGGGAGCATCTTCCTCTTTCAACAGGGTAAGATGCCGTTTGTGTCAGGCTAAGGTTTGATGTATGTTTTTATTACCATGGTTTGTGTGGTGCTGTAGTGTCTTTTATCTTTCCATCTTCATGGTTTGTGTGGTGGTATGGTGTCTTTTATGTTTTGATCCCCATGGTTTATGTAGTGCTATAGTGTCTTTTATGCTTTTATCCCCATAGTTTATGTGGTGCTATAGTGTCTTTTATGTTTTTATCCCCATAGTTTATGTGGTGCTATAGTGTCTTTTATGCTTTTATCCCCATAGTTTATGTGGTGCTATAGAGTCTTTTATGTTTTAATCTCCATGGTTTAATATGGTGCTTTGGTGTCTTTTATGCTTTTATCCCCATAGTTTATGTGGTGCTATAGTGTCTTTTATGCTTTTATCCCCATAGTTTATGTGGTGCTATAGTGTCTTTTATGCTTTTATCCCCATAGTTTATGTGGTGCTATAGAGTCTTTTATGTTTTAATCTCCATGGTTTAATATGGTGCTTTGGTGTCTTTTATGGTTTCATCTCCATTGCTGTGAATGGTGCTGTGTTATGTTTCAGTTTGACCATCATGTTGTAGATGATTTGGTCAACAGTGATGTGTTTCTTTCTGGCAGGTCCTCGACTGGTTTTGGACAATCATTGCAAGCTTCAGTGAGGAACAAATGGCCCGGTTACTCCAGTTCATAACCGGCTGCTCACAACTTCCACCTGGTGGTTTTTCAGAGCTGAACCCTAAGATTCAGCTGTCATCTGCTCCTACATACAACAACCTACCTTCTTCACACACCTGGTCAGTCAATGTGTTGTTGCTTCTCTGAGTAATACTTTAGTGACATCATGTTGCTACATCTGAGGTAGAGCTATGGGACACTCACCTGCAACTGTTGATACCAGGGGTGCACACACAACTGGTGATACCAGGGGTTCACACACAACTGGTGATAACAGGGGTTCACACACAACTGGTGATACCAGGGGTTCACACACAACTGTTGATACCAGGGGTTCGCACACAACTGTTGATACCAGGGGTTCGCACACAACTGTTGATACCGGGGGTTCACACACAACTGTTGATACCAGGGGTGCACACACAACTGGTGATAACAGGGATTCACACACAACTGTTGATACCAGGGGTGCACACACAACTGGTGATAACAGGGATTCACACACAACTGTTGATACCAGGGGTGCACACACAACTGGTGATACCAGGGACTCACACACAACTGTTGATACCAGGGGTTCGCACACAACTGTTGATACCAGGGGTTCACACACAACTGTTGATACCAGGGGTTCATACACAACTGTTGATACCAGGAGTTCACACACAACTGTTGATACCAAGGGTGCACACACAACTGGTGATAACAGGGATTCACACACAACTGTTGATACCAGGGGTTCACACACAACTGTTGATACCAGGGGTGCACAAACAACTGGTGATAACAAAGATTCACACACAACTGTTGATACCAGGGGTTCACACACAACTGGTGATACCAGGGGTTCACACACAACTGTTGATACCAAGGGTGCACACACAACTGGTGATAACAGGGATTCACACACAACTGTTGATACCAGGGGTGCACAAACAACTGGTGATAACAAAGATTCACACACAACTGTTGATACCAGGGGTTCACACACAACTGGTGATACCAGGGGTTCACACACAACTGTTCCTGGCCCAACAGATTAAGGATGGGATGCTTCCTCTTTTTCTTATTCACATTCACCGGCTTCAGTCTCCAGTGGAAAGTCCTGGTTGTCCATCTGTGAACTTTAGTCTTGATCCAGAACTTGATTTCTGCATGCACATCAGTTTACAGATCTGACTTATTTATATATGCAGACTGTTGGTTCCTTTCCTCTCAGACAGATGCCCTTTTGCTTTAAAGTAAACATCCCTGATCCTGTTATGACTTGTTGCGGGGTTTTGGGGGGGGGGGGGTCTATTCTTTGCTTCCAAAGATGGGAGCCCTGGAACACACAGACAGATGTGAATGTCTACAGAAGATAATCAAGACAACTTGTCTGGGGTTTCCTCACACAGTTCACAACAACAACTATATTGTTAAAATAGCAGCCAAACAAGAAGTGGAACTTGTCAACCTCACACAGTTCACAACAACAACTATATTGTTAAAATAGCAGCCAAACAAGAAGTGGAACTTGTCAACCTCACACAGTTCACAACAACTACTATATTGTTAAAATAGCAGCCAAACAAGAAGTGGAACTTGTCAACCTCGCACAGTTCACAACTTGTCAACCTCATACAGTCACAACTTGTCAACCTCACACAGTCACAACTTGTCAACCTCACACAGTCACAACTTGTCAACCTCACACAGTCACAACTTGTCAACCTCACACAGTTCACAACTTGTCAACCTCACACAGTCACAACTTGTCAACCTCACACAGTCACAACTTGTCAACCTCACACAGTTCACAACTTGTCAACCTCACACAGTTCACAACTTGTCAACCTCACACAGTTCACAACTTGTCAACCTCACACAGTCACAACTTGTCAACCTCACACAGTCACAACTTGTCAACCTCACACAGTTCACAACTTGTCAACCTCACACAGTCACAACTTGTCAACCTCACACAGTCACAACTTGTCAACCTCACACAGTTCACAATAACAAACAATAACATCAATGTTTTGGCCAGCAAGCCTTCATCAGCATAAGGCACAAAAGAACAATGATACAATCACAGACAAGAATACCTAAAACCATGTACAGTGATGATGTTGTCTGGCAAAAAATCTCCATAACATGCTTGAACAGTCAACACAGCTAGCCCTGTTATCTGCTTGTATTATAGAGATGTTTTCTTCTTGTGTTATAGAGATGTTTTCTTCTTGTGTTATAGAGATGTTATCTTCTTGTGTTATAGAGATGTTTTCTTCTTGTGTTATAGAGATGTTATCTTCTTGTGTTATAGAGATGTTATCTTCTTGTGTTATAGAGATGTTTTCTTCTTGTTATATGCTTGTGTTAGAGAGATATCTTTTTGTATTAAAGCGATGTTATCTTCTTGTATTATAGAGATGTTATCTTTTTGTGATATAGAGATGATGTCTTCTTTTATTATATAGTTGTTATCTGCTTGTTTTCTTCTTTTTTCGTTGCGTTCACTGGCTGTAAACTCCAGTCGAAAGTTCTGGTTGTTCTTCGCCTCTGGCTGTAAACTCCAATGGAAAGTTCTGCTTGTTCTTCGCCTCTGGACATCTAGTTCCAGAACCTCAGTTTTGCATGCACATCCAATTTTAGAGATCTGACTTATTTGTATGCAGACTGTTGGTTCCTTGCCTCTTAGGTGCAGACACTCCGACTTTGAAGGAAGCCCCCAGTTAGTCAACTCTTACAGCATGCTGGTTGGGGAGGCAGTGGGTCTGTTCTTGCATTCCTCACAGGGCCCCAGAACCCACACAGAGATTATCTTCTTGTTTATAGAGACGCTTGTTATCTTCTTGTTGTATAGAGATGTTTTTGGTGTGTTTCAGCTTCAACCAGCTGTGTCTGCCAGACTATGACAGCATGGAGACATTCCACAAGATGCTACTCATTGCAATCATGGAGGGTAACCAGGGCTTTGGCATGGCATGATCAGACGCAGGCTGTTGTGTCTCTCTAAACATCCCTTCATCACGTTTGCCTAGAACCTGGCTCCACCAGACAGACGCAGGATGTTGTGTCTCTCTCTAAACATCCCTTCATCACGTTTGCCTAGAACCTGGCTCCACCAGACAGACGCAGGATGTTGTGTCTCTCTCTAAACATCCCTTCATCACGTTTGCCTAGAACCTGGCTCCACCAGACAGATGCAGGATGTTGTGTCTCTCTAAACATCCCTTCATCACGTTTTCCTAGAACCTGGCTCCACCAGACAGACGCAGGATGTTGTGTCTCTCTCTAAACATCCCTTCATCACGTTTGCCTAGAACCTGGCTCCACCAGACAGACGCAGGATGTTGTGTCTCTCTCTAAACATCCCTTCATCACGTTTGCCTAGAAGCTGGCTCCACCAGACAGATGCAGGATGTTGTGTCTCTCTCTAAACATCCCTTCATCACGTTTGCCTAGAACCTGGCTCCACCAGACAGACGCAGGATGTTGTGTCTCTCTCTAAACATCCCTTCATCACGTTTGCCTAGAACCTGGCTCCACCAGACAGACGCAGGCTGTTGTGTCTCTCTAAACATCCCTTCATCACGTTTGCCTAGAAGCTGGCTCCACCAGACAGACGCAGGATGTTGTGTCTCTCTCTAAACATCCCTTCATCACGTTTGCCTAGAACCTGGCTCCACCAGACAGACGCAGGATGTTGTGTCTCTCTCTAAACATCCCTTCATCACGTTTGCCTAGAAGCTGGCTCCACCAGACAGATGCAGGATGTTGTGTCTCTCTCTAAACATCCCTTCATCACGTTTGCCTAGAACCTGGCTCCACCAGACAGATGCATACACTCACCTGTTGTCAACGTAAACATCTGTTACTGCCTTTGTTTAGGGTGATTTTCTATGGGGATATTTATTATTGAATCAGTGTCACTGCGAAACGTCCATGTGATCGACTAGGAGCACAGTTGAGTTACTTACTCGCCTAACTCTTTGTGCCAGGCAATGCAGGTGTTTGGGGAAATGAACATGCAGATTGTCTGATGGAGAATGTTGGTACAGTGACTGCCCTGGCACTGGGCAGGAGAGATGTCATTAGTGCCATGCAAGATGCATATCACAGAGACGACTAGGACAACAAGCAAAATTCAGTATCCTTGTTCAGGCGGTGGACATGGAAGTGCAACTTTGAGCAGCCAGACAAGATGTCTGATTAATTAACACAGAACGGGTGTGATCAGTCGTTATACACTTATGGGACTGTTGAGGAGGAGATCAGAACACCTATGGATCTGTCAGAGTTGTGGGATGTTAGTACTCACCAAAGAGATTCAAGTGTTGATAGTTTGTGTTACCATGTGAGCTTTGATAACATCCAGTGTTACAGTGGCATAGAGAGAACTGTCATGTCAGATGTGGTTTCTGGGACTGGCCAACACGACAGTTGACACAGAACATGTCAGATGTGGTTTCTGGGACTGGCCAACATGACAGTGAACACAAAACATGTCAGATGTGGTTTCTGGGACTGGCCAACATGACAGTGAACACAGAACATGTCAGATGTGGTTTCTGGGACTGGCCAACATGACAGTGAACACAAAACATGTCAGATGTGGTTTCTGGGACCGGCCAACATGACAGTTGACACAGAACATGTCAGATGTGGTTTCTGAGACCGGCCAACAAGACAGTTGACACAGAACATGTCAGATGTGGTTTCTGGGACTGAACAACATGACAGTTGACACAGAACATGTCAGATGTGGTTTCTGGGACCGGCCAACATGACAGTTGACACAGAACATGTCAGATGTGGTTTCTGAGACCGGCCAACATGACAGTTGACACAGAACATGTCAGATGTGGTTTCTGGGACTGAACAACATGACAGTTGACACAGAACATGTCAGATGTGGTTTCTGGGACTGACAGTGGACACAGAACATGTCAGATGTGGTTTCTGGGACTGACCAACATGACAGTGAACACAAAACATGTCAGATGTGGTTTCTGGGACTGACCAACATAACAGTAAACACAAAACATGTCAGATGTGGTTTCTGGGACTGAACAACATAACAGTGAACACAAAACATGTCAGATGTGGTTTCTGGGACTGGCCAACACAACAGTGAACACAGAATGTCAGATGTGGTTTCTGGGACTGACCAACATGACAGTGAACACAAAACATGTCAGATGTGGTTTCTGGGACTGACCAACATGACAGTGAACACAGAATGTCAGATGTGGTTCCTGGGACTGGCCAACATGACAGTTGACACAGAACATGTCAGATGTGGTTTCTGGGACTGGCAGTGGACACAGAATGTCAGACACCTGGGACATTCATAAAGCTAGGAAACTGATGAAGAATCAAGAGTTCTCCAGCAGTCTGTGATGTGGGTGAAGTTGTGTCAAGGACTTACGGGAAAGATCAGTGTCTACAAACAAATCTGTGCTTGTGAGAGGTTGGTGTATTTGACAAAATGTGACTATCTGTGGTCCTGAAGGTAAAACTTTGACTTGTATGTTTCTTTTCAAGTCAGAGTGCATATACCTGAGAGGTGAGGATACCAACAGTCTGCATACAAATAAGCCAAATCTGTATGCGCATACAAAACTCAAGCTCTGGAACAAGACCATAGTGTATAAATGGACAAACGACTGAAACTTTCTGCCAGACTTTACGGCCTGTGGACACTAAGAAGAAGAAGACTTGTGTGGGAGATGACTCAGTCAGTGTTGTCGGAGGTGACTCAGTCAGTGTTGTCCTATGTTGTGACATTTTGAGACAGGGCTGCAGCAAACATGAAGAAGAACTGCTAGCATGTCCAGTTGACTTGAATCTCAGAAAGATACTGCTACAACTACAGATGCCAGCTGACATGATGCCAGCTGACATGATGCCAGCTGACATGATGCCAGCTGACATGATGCCAGCTGACATGATGCCAGCTGACATGATGCCAGCTGACATGATGCCAGCTGACATGATGCCAGCTGACATGATGCAAGCTGACATGTGTTTTCTGAATGTTTCAAAGGTTATCTTGTGTGCATTTGAAGATCTGTTGTGGGTATCACACACAGCACGTATATTTTGCCTGTATCCTACAGAGTATGTATGTCTTGTATGAAACCCACATAGAATGTTGGCCATATACTCATACTTGCAGTATTATTACCTACATCAATGTGACATTTCAGCACAGCTAACGGCTTCTCTCAAGATTCAAAATAGCATTTGTGTCTTCTTTTTTAACTCTTTTATAAATTTCTTCATACTGTGATACACCACACAATGTGTTATGTGATACACACAGGTGAAAACTGAATCCACATGGTATATAGGTTGCTGTTGTAAGGAGTTTGGTCTTTCAGTGTTAGATAAACAAAGGCACTTCAGGGCAATGTAGGTAAGTGTGGGTTCTGTGCAACCAGTGTAGGTGAGTGTGGGTTCTGTGCAACCAGTGTAGGTGAGTGTGGGTTCTGTGCAACCAGTGTAGGTGAGTGTGGGTTCTGTGCAACCAGTGTAGGTGAGTGTGGGTTCTGTGCAACCAGTATTTGTTCCTCAACTTGTTTCCTAAACTTTTCACTTTGCCAGTGACGGCTTTCTCATGGAAGCCCCAGGACACTTTGCTAGAGACGGCTTTCTCGTGGAAGCCCTAGGACACTTTGCTAGAGACGGCTTTCTCATGGAAGCCCTAGGACACTTTGCTAGAGACGGCTTTATCGTGGATGCCCCAGGACACTTTGCTAGAGACGGCTTTCTCGTGGATGCCCCAGGACACTTTGCTAGAGGCGGCTTTCTCGTGGATGCCCCAGGACACTTTGCTAGAGGCGGCTTTCTCGTGGATGCCCCAGCACACTTTGCTAGAGACGGCTTTCTCGTGGATGCCCCAGCACACTTTGCTAGAGACGGCTTTCTCGTGGAAGCCCCAGGACACTTTGCTAGAGACGGCTTTCTCGTGGATGCCCCAGGACACTTTGCTAGAGACGGCTTTCTCGTGGATGCCCCAGCACACTTTGCTAGAGGCGGCTTTCTCGTGGATGCCCCAGGACACTTTGCTAGAGACGGCTTTCTCGTGGATGCCCCAGGACACTTTGCTAGAGGCGGCTTTCTCGTGAATGCCCCAGCACACTTTGCTAGAGACGGCTTTCTCGTGGATGCCCCAGCACACTTTGCTAGAGACGGCTTTCTCGTGGATGCCCCAGGACACTTTGCTAGAGGCGGCTTTCTCGTGGATGCCCCAGCACACTTTGCTAGAGACGGCTTTCTTGTGGATGCCCCAGCACACTTTGCCAGTGACGGCTTTCTCGTGGATGCCCCAGGAGACTTTGCTAGAGGCGGCTTTCTCGTGGATGCCCCAGGACACTTTGCTAGAGACGGCTTTCTCGTGGATGCCCCAGCACACTTTGCTAGAGACGGCTTTCTCGTGGAAGCCCCAGGAGACTTTGCTAGAGACGGCTTTCTCGTGGAAGCCCCAGGACACTTTGCTAGAGACGGCTTTCTCGTGGATGCCCTAGGACACTTTGCTAGAGACGGCTTTCTCGTGGATGCCCTAGGACACTTTGCTAGAGACGGCTTTCTCGTGGAAGCCCCAGCACACTTTGCTAGAGGCGGCTTTCTCGTGGATGCCCCAGGACACTTTGCTAGAGACGGCTTTCTCGTGGATGCCCCAGGACACTTTGCTAGAGGCGGCTTTCTCGTGGATGCCCCAGCACACTTTGCTAGAGACGGCTTTCTCGTGGATGCCCCAGCACACTTTGCTAGAGACGGCTTTCTCGTGGATGCCCCAGGACACTTTGCTAGAGGCGGCTTTCTCGTGGATGCCCCAGCACACTTTGCTAGAGACGGCTTTCTCGTGGATGCCCCAGCACACTTTGCCAGTGACGGCTTTCTCGTGGATGCCCCAGGAGACTTTGCTAGAGGCGGCTTTCTCGTGGATGCCCCAGGACACTTTGCTAGAGACGGCTTTCTCG